AACGTTCATAAAATTTTCTTACTCTCTTAATGACTTTAGGACATATGGTGACATCCTTTCTTTAATTTCTAATATTTTTTGTGTCCCCTCCCCCTCTTGCTCACTCTCTGTCTCTCTTGCTAGCTCTCTGCCTGTCTTCTGTCTGTGTCTCTGTCTGGCTAGAGGTTTTTCAATTTTATTGATATTTTCAAAGAATAAACTTTTGACCTTACTAAGTTTTCTTTTGTTCTCAATTTCATTTATGTGTCTTTATATTTTTTATCATTTTCTTTTTCTGTTTGCTTTGGGATTAATGTAGTTTTCCTTTCTAGTTTCTTATGGTGGGATATCAGGCCATTGATTTGAGATTTTCTTCTTTTTCTCATATAATCATTTAATGTTGTAAATTTTTCTGTAGGCATTGCTTTAGCTACATCTCATAAGTTTTGACATGTTACATTTTCATTTGCATTCAATTAAAATTGTTTTCTAATTTCTGTTACAATTTACTCTTTGACTCATAGGTAGTTAGAATTGTGTTGTTTAATTTTCAACCAATTAAATACCCCAAAGGGGCATTTTCCAAATTTTTGTTCTATTACTCATTACTAGTTTAATTCCTTTGTGGTTAGAGAACTTACTTTATATGTTTTAAATTGTCAAGTTTTGTTTTATGGTTCAGAATAGGATCTGTTTTGACTGAATTCTGTGTGTTCTTGAAAAGAAGCTATTTGGCTATTTTTGGATGGAGTAGACTCTCTCTACACACACACACACACACACACACACACACACACACACACACACACACACACACACACACAAACTCAAGCATTTTAAAGTAGTTTTTAAGTTGGTGACATAAAAATTACTCCACATATTTAAAAATCATAGCTTTTTTGTGTAGCTGGGTGGGCCTCATGACAATTTACTAATAAGCTTAGTTTTTTTTAAATATAGGTCTTGCTGTATATTTGTAGCAAGTTTGTTAGAGAAAGAAGAGGACAAAATAAGGCAAATAATTTTTCACATTGTTCTTGTACATGGGTTATTTTATTTAATGACTTTAAAGTTATCATTAAAAGTTTTGGAAATGTAAAAGATAAATAGAGAAATTATGCATGATATTTAGAACTTTTTGGGGGCAGTTTAGTTTTATTTATTCATGATATGATAAAATTATGTATGTTCTCGTGGTGGCTCATGCTTGTGATCCCAGCACTTTGGGAGGTGGAGGCAAGAGGATTGCCTGAGTCTAGGAGTTCAAGGCCAGCCTATTTAACTTGGTAAGACCTCGTCTCTACAATAAATAAAAAAAAAATAAGCTGGGCATTGTGGTGCACACCTGTGGTTCCAGCTACTTGGAAGACTGAGGCAGAAGGATCACCTGAGCCCAGCAGGTCAAG